GACAAAACTCTTTGACCACAGGGAACATATATTGTATAAGCGCCTGACGCTAAAGCTAACGTTTTGTTTATCTTCACAAGCAGTTTTCATCGATAGATTTAAGTATGGATTGAAGATTGTTTTGAGACCGTCTCAAGAACCCTGTAACCTTTCTGCGCTCAGCATCAGTCAAACTGAACCCAAATACTACACAGCCAGTAATACAATAACATCAAATGTTAAAATACTTAAAACTCAAGTGACTGATCAACAAAATAAAATCATGCAGGTTCTCTGACACACAGTTTAGATTTTTTGTTTTGTTAGGACTGCACTATGATGAAATATATCACACACTCAAAAATTGACTTTTGCTGCTTGTTATTAAAAGGAGCTTTTTTGGGGGGGACAACTTAATTGTTTTATGTCCAATCCACTTAAATTTGTAAGTGTGCTTAATCGATTTGTGTTCAGAAAACATGAAGTAATTGTGTGGAACCCCGACACAAAAAAGTCCTATCGTCTTATATTATTCTCTATCTTTTATTTTGTGGTGTTACAACTTTGTTTTCACAACATGCAATTTATTATTTATGATCGCACTTTTACGCGCCATTATGGCTATGCTTTACATGTGGACGATATAAATTGATTAAATTTACAGAAATGGTAGTATTTTCCACTCTTTGTTATATTGCAGTCATTTGCTAAAATCTATTAAATTTATTTTTTTCCCTCATTAATGTACACACAGCACCCTTATATTGACAGAAAAACACAGAATTGTTGGCATTTTTTGTAGATTTATTAAAAAAAGAAAAACTGAAATATCACATGGTGCTAAGGATTCAGACCCTTTGAATATATTTAACGCAGGTGCTGTCCATTTCTTCTGATCATCCTTGAGACGGTTTTACAGCTTCATTTAAGTCCAACTATGTTTGATTATATTGATTGGACTTGATTAGGATGCATGTCAGAGCAAATGAGAATCATGAGGTCAAAGGAACTGCCTGAAGAGCTCAGAGACAGGGTTGTGGGAAGGCACAGATCTGGCCAAGATTACAAAAACATTTCTGCTGCACTCAAGGTATTAAAAAGCACAGTGGCCTCCATAATCCTCAATGTTCTGAACTACCAGAACCCTTCCTAGAGCTGGCCGCTCAGCAAAACTGAGCTATCGGGGGAGAAGGGCCTTAGTGAGAGAGGTAGAGGAGAACCCAAAAAATCACTGTGGCTGAGCTTCAGAGATGCAGATGGGAGAAAGATGTAGAAAGTCAACCATCACAGTGCTTACCTCCACCAGTAAGAGCTTTATGGCAGGGTGGCCCAACAGAAGCTTCTTCTCAGTGCAAGACACAAGAAAACCCGCATGGAGTTTGCTGAATGGTGAGAAATAAGATTCTTTGGTCTGATGATACCAAGATAGAACTTTTTGGCCCTAATTCTAAGTGGCATGTGTGGAGAAAACCAGGCACTGCCCATCACCTGCCCAATACAGTCCCAACAGTGAAGCGTCATGCATCATGCTGTGTTTTTTTGCTGCATGGACAACTGGTTGCAATCAAGGGAAAGTAAAATGCGGCCAAGTACAGGGATATCCTGGATGAAAACCTTTTCCAGAGTGCTCAGGACCTCAGACTGCGCTGAAAGGTTACCTTCCAAAAAGACAATGGCCCTAAGCAAACAGCTAAAATAACAAAGGAGTGGCTTCGTAACAAGTCTGTGACTGTTCCTGAATGGCCCAGCCAGAGCCCTGGTTTAAATCTAATCGAGCATATCTGGAGAGACCTAAAAATGGCTGTCCATCAATTTTTACCATCAAACCTGACTGAACTGGAGAAAATCTGCAAGGAGGAATTGCAGAGGATCCACAAATCAAGGTGTGAAAAACTTGTTGGATCTTTCCCATGAAGACTCATGGCTGCATTAGATCAAAAAGGTGCCTCTAATAAATACTGAGCAAAGGGTCTGAATACTTTGGACCATAGTCAGTTTTAATAAATCTCCATAAATGTAAAAAATTCTGTGTTTTTTTTGTCAATATGGGATACTGTGTATACATTAATGAGGAACAAAATAGAACAAAAAGTAAAAAATGTAAAGGGGTCTGAATACTTTCCGTACCCACTGAATATTGTTGGTGAGATATGTGAGATATTACTTCTATCATGATACAAGATTTTTGTCATAAAGCCCCGCCATGATTTCATTTACCCAGAGAGGGTGAAAAGTAACTGTACGCATTGTAAATGTATATACTATTGACTGTACTATTAAAGTGGGAAATTATAAATCCTATCTACTATCATCTATTTAGTTTACAATATTTTCATCATGATTTCTACAGCCATTAAATGTTACCTTGTTAATTTTCCCCCTCGCCCTGAAATAATCATCACAAAAAAGGCAATCAAGCACAAAAATAAACATGTGAAAAAGGGGGTGGTATTTGCCCAACGTTGGGTAAAATATGGACAAATCCAACCCTTTAGTTTAAAAAAAAATTCTGTCATTGTTTAGATTGTATGAAGATTACAAAAATTGTGAAACTAATACATAAGATTTAATATGCTGCCGAAAAGAATATAGTTTACATTTTAAGGGGTTACTTATTTTATATATCAAACTTTTTTTTATTTGGGGCTGTTGGGGAAATCCCTTATTATGGTGGGCATATCCCTTATTTCCACATCCCAATGTTGTGTGAATGTTGCTGTGACTGAGTGGCACAGACATCAGTGCAATGAAACAGTGAGACATCTCCCTCTAGTGGCAGAGGGTTTCATTGTTTGTCACAATCCTCGGGGCTCCCACTTTACATGACGTGTAACATGCTGCTCGGGCATAAACTGAATTTTTACTTTAAAACATGACAAAAATAAGTATGTGTATATATATATATATATATATATATATATATATATATATATATATATATATATATATGTGTGTGTGTGTGTGTGTGTGTGTGTGTGTGTGTGTGTGTGTGTGTGTGTGTGTGTGTGTGTGTGTGTCTGTCTGTCTATGTCCAAAATCTTGTATTTGTATTGACATTTCAATTTATACTATATTAGCAAAGTTTTAATGTCCATGCACATATGTTTTTGTCTCTTCATAAAGATGATCAAATCTATTAACACTAAGTTCTTGTGGAGTTTATGGACACTTTCTTAGCAGATTTTTTTTTCAAGTTCGTCTTTAAATAAAATTATTTGTAGCTAAACTTTATTACACTATATATATATATATATATATATATATATATATATATATATATATATATATATATATATATATATATATTGTGGAAAGTGCTACTGTATTGAATTTAATTTAATAAATCTAGGCTTATTATATTGTAGGCAAGAATTATTTTTTTTAGGTATTTAAGTAATCTAATGTATTGTCATCTATATAAATTATTAATTAAATTATATGTCTAAAAAAATTATCATTATTATTTTTTACTGTTCCTCAAAAAATTTCCACAAACCCTCTAATACTAAAAATGATAAGTTGTGGCAATCCAAGGTTTGTTAAATATGGAAATACCCAGCAGTAAAAATGTAATGTTTTTTAAATAACCCAACATTGTCCATATTTGACCCAATGTTGGGTTAAGACAGGGGTGACCAACCCTGTTCCTGTAGACCTTCCTGCAGATTTCAGTTGCAACCCATATCAAACACACCAGCCTGTAATTATCCAGTGCTCTTCAGGTTCCTTGTTCAGGTGTGTTTGGTCAGGGTTGGAGCTGAACTCTGCAGGAAGGTAGATGTCCAGGAACAGGGTTGAGCACCCTTGGGTTAAGACATCCCAGCATTTTAAGAGAATAATAATTGCCAGACGCTTATAGGTCCTATCTAGGCCCATGATATTATATTATAAAAAGTCTCATTTATTTTATTGATATTTTATTGTAATTTAATGTATCCTAAAGTAAGTCAATTATTAATTAAAGTATCTATTAAAATCCATAATTAAATATTTTTTGTTTTTCAAACAATTTCCACAAACCCCCTAACACTCTAAAAATCCAGGGTAGTCGTAATCCAAGGTTGGGTCAAATATGGAAAAACCCAACAGTTGGGTTAAAAATGTAATTTGAATTTAATAAAAATTAACACAACGTTGTCAATATTTGACCCAATTTTGGGTTAAGACATCCCAGCATTTTAGAGTATAATATGCCAGACGCTTATAGTAGGTTATAGGCCCTATTTAGCTTTAGTTAATTAGTTAATTTAGTTTTATTATATTTAGTTAATTTAGTTTTATTATAGTTCACAACTATAGTTGTGAATCTAGCACGACTGCTGTCCATGGTGCTGAAGTCTATCAATGATCTAATTCTGCACCAAATGAAATATATCTGGAGGCAGGTTGATATTTCCAAGCCATTAGTCCATTTCACAGCTCTCCTCCTCTTCTCTTTTTATTGTAAAGCTCAATGGCCCAGCAGAACAGGCTGGCTGGAGTGGCATTTAATGTTTCGAACAAGCCGTTTCTATGACCTATTATATGATAATGTAAAAAAGCCATCGTAATTGTTATTAAATACCATCCAATAAAAATCTTCCTCAGAGCAGATTGATTAATAAAGGAGAGTACACGATTTGACAATTCGCTTGCTCCATAACCTCCTGAAAGGCACGTAATAATTCACACACAAGTGTGTGTATGTCACACCCCTGCCAGCCAAACCAAGCGAAGGTAGGTAGAGTGTATAAGGTTTCGTAGGGTGGTAAAGAAGATCCCTCTGACCGCTTTATATCTGGTTTCCAGCTCTTTCCCTCTCTCCGTCTTTATCGCGTTCCTTCGGTTTTCTACCTTCCTGTTTTAACTTTCATGCAAACTCAAACGCGTGGATTATTAGCGATGAAGCTTTAAACTTTATCTTGCGCTAAAACAGCGCTGGTTCTTGCATTATATAGCGGAAAGAGAGGCGCGCGTCGCGGAGTCGTGTTACTTTGCGTCTGACCGGTTACAGGAGGAGGAGGAATGGGGTGAGCAGTGAAATGCCAACTCTCTGGAAGCAGATCGTGTTCTCCTTCGCTTCGATACTCAGCATCGGCTCTGTGGTGCTTCTGGTCGTGGCTCTGTCCACCGAGCGCTGGGTCACCGGGACCACGTTGTGCCAGACAGGAGTGGATCTGGTGAACGCGTCACGGCCGGAGCTGGAGCAGTTCACTGGACACATTTACTACGGCCTCTTCCAGGGGGGCAAAACACGCAGATGCGGCCTCGGAATCCGCCGCGCGAAAATATACAGTAAGAAGTTGAGTCATCATAGAGATTCCTTTTTTTGATATAGTTTTTAAATTATTATATATTTGTTTAATGTAGATTGCAACATTGTTTTGAATGTTTGTATTTGTGAATCAGTTATTGTTATTTACATATTGTATAATCACGTGGATAATTTTAGTGATATTCATTGTTTATTTATGTTTATTGGAACACTTCTCCTGAACAAATGGGGTTGTGCTTATTTTATTTATCACAAATGTCAGCACACTGTAAAAACTTTGTTAATAATTTCAAAACATTTTAATGAATCGTTTTGCTTTGAGTGAGTTAAGTTTTTTTTATTTAATCATCTTTTAGAAGGTTCAACATTTATTTTAAAATTTAAAAAGTTGATCCAATAACTTATTTCAAGTAACCTGGACTTCCAAATTTAGCAGATTTTTTTTTTCTTTTTCTTTATTGCAAAACAAGAACAATAGCATACAAAAAAATGAAGAATACAGTGCTTATAATTATTTTACATCAAAGGAACAAATCAATAGAAAATAAAAACAAAAATAAATACAGGGGATATATAAATGACAAAAAATTTGTTTAAGAAAAGTCCAAAATTGCAAACATCCTTATAGTTTTTTATTTCTTTTTAGGGTTTCAATATAACGCTTAAGATCAATTTTAAACAAATAAATATTAGGTTTATCACTGGACCGTTTTTGTTTGTGTACATGGTACTTCCCATAAATAATCATTAAATTAATTAACAAATTATGCTCCAAAGTTGTATTATTATGATTTGGCTAAAATAGATTAACTTACATTTTCAATTAAACAGAACTTGCAAGCTTTATAGTTGAAACACATTAGCTTACATAATCTTAATCGAGCTTACTTAATAATAATCTTCTTATATATTAATAATCTTAATATATTCTCAACTTGCAATAACAATCAACTAAATCAACTAAAGAAAGGTTTTCAATGTCTCTTACAATTGAATTGTTACAGGACAAAATCAAACAGAAAAACAGTCTTGAGTATTTAACATAATACAAATCAACGGTCAAAGAATCTTTTTACTCCAGATTTTTTTTTTTTGAATGAACGATTTGTTGAATAAAGCTTTTAATCAACTTAAGTAAACCTAAAATGCTTTGAATGTGTTAAATGAACAACAGACAGATAGTTACAGTTAGTGAAATTTCCAGGAAATACTTGTTTTGTTAAAGTCACCAAAATGGTGAACACTTTATTCTCAATTTACAACTGTATGGTGATGATTTCTCTTTACTGGCAATAGTAATCCTGTTTTTCAACAGAATGAGACCCTACAGAGCTTTCATCTGAAACACTCACATATATCAGAAATCTGCATATGAATTTCGTGCCACAGTGCATGCTGGGAGCCATTGATGAGTTTTCTATGATCCTCCCAGCATGTGTCAAGACATGTCACCTTTCTTGTGTGTTACAGTGGCTATACAGATGTTTTTCAAATCAATATTGTGAGACCTGAACTCTGTCTCTCTTATTCGTACAAATCCTACAGTTTTCCCAAAACTCATCAAAAAAATCAACAGTGGTCTTCACATGATCATCATCTTCTTCCTCTTCACTGCTATTGGCTTTGCAGTAGTCAGTTTAGCTTTCTGTATATATAATGCCAGGAAAGTTCCTTACCAATCCATCAAAGGACCTTTTGGCCTCTACATCTGGAATTTCATAGCAGGTAAGTCAATGTATCAAACAGCATACGCATAGACTGGGATTTATTTCTAATAACATACTTGTTTGTTCTTTTTAAATCTCGTTTCTCAGCTCTGTTTAGTGCGATGGGCTTTGCATGCTTCCTTGCAGCAATTCAGTGCCATAAACTCACAGAACACGTGGCGAACTACAGCGAGAGCCTTTTTACCCTGGTGATCCTTGAGGAGAATCTTGGTTTTTCATTTTGGTTGGTTGTTGCCAGCGCTGTAACACATGGAGCGAACATTCTGGTTGTGGCCTCCAGTAAAATTCATCTGCCTAAAATACAGACTAAAAAACCAGAGGAACCCACAGCCACTGGAGAAGATTTCCTCTACTGAAGTACAAGGACGAGTTGAAAGGTTTGACTGTGCTGATTAGCCAAACCTAAGGGGTTTATGGGCTGATCTGAAGATTTTAAAAATGGACTGTTGTAAATACAGCTTTATTATGTGACAAAAAAGAAATCCACTTAAAAAATCCACTCTTTTCTTTTTGCAGTAGATTTTTGAATGACAATGTAAGAGCTTCTGAAATGTGACTTGTGTTTTTTTGATGAAGCAAATGAAATATTACATCTTACTTGCTATTGCAGAGCTACTAAGAAATGTACATTATGTAATAATGTGTCATTACTGTCTGATATATATTTATAAATAACTCATTTTTGAGTCAATAAACTTCACATTTTAATACTTGACTCCTGTTCGACATAACATGTTAAGCAGCCATTGTTACAACAGAGAAATAAACAACAACACTAATGCACTAATGAGTGTAATTTTCATTAGTATTTTGCATGAATATGTTTGTTGCTTTTTAGTTTACTTTAATAAAATATATTCAAGGGAAAATGTATACACTCATGCTTCCTCTGGTACATTTCTCAAGTAAATTATGATACATTATAGCTATTTTACAGTGTAAAAAACAATAATAATAATAATTTTAACTAATTTTATTCTAGTAAATATGTTTTGGGGAATGGACAGCAAAATAAAATCATTCCGATAAATTAATTTTAGCTTAAACACACCATCAGAAAAAGTCACTGTTTGAATAAACGAATACGCAAAAGGTTATGACTGGATCAGTATTTCAGTCAAAATGTTTCTGGTGTGTCATAATATGTCATTCATTTGTTTGTTGTGAATACCCGCCATCTAGTGGCGAAAGTTACTTACTTTGCCTAAGATCAAGATTACAATATTATATAACTACCAATAGAGGAGATTAGAACAAAGAATTTATTCATTCATTCGTTTTCTTTTCGGCTTAGTTGATTTATTAATCTGGGGTCGCCACAGCAGAATGAACCACCAACTTATCCAGCACATTTTTACGCAGCGGATGCCCTTTCAGCCGCAACCCATCTCTAGAAAACATCCACACACACTCATTTACACTCATACGCTACAGACAATTTAGCTTACCCAATTCACCAGTACTGCATGTCTTTGGACTGTGGGGGAAACTGGAGCACCAGGAGGAAACCCACGCGAACGCAGGGAGAACATGCAAACTCCACACAGAAACGCCAACTGACCCAGCCGAGGCTCAAACCAGCGACCTTCTTGCTGTGAGGCGACAGCACTACCTACTGCGCCACCGCATCACCTAGAACAAAGAATCCAACATTTAATTAAACAGAAGAGGTGTGGCATTCTGCTTTTTGACATCTGTTTTCATGGTAGCATGTGGTTTTGTCGTTCTGTTTAGAATGTGTTTTGTTTTCAAAACACAAAGATAATTTGTTTAGGTTGATTAAAAATTTCTCATAGAAAAGATTTTGGAACTGACATAGTACAACTTAGCAGGTGTAAGATTAGTCAACAGAGAGTTTACAGATTAGATGATTTTAAGTCAACCTTGCTTCACGGATTAAACCTGTCATTTGAAAACACTGAAATAATGAAATGACCAACCTAGAGTCCTAATATGAACCTGACTGTGAATCTAACTCATGCAATCAGAAAACTGTGAAAGAGATTAAAGAGCTGTTCAAGATCACAGCAGAGCAGTGTGAGAGACATTAGATATGGTTCCATTGACTTTTGTATAACATTTTTTAACATGCGCATAACTATAGAAAGTGCTCATTAAAAACTTATGCACACAACTAGGGCTGTGCAATTAATTGAAATTCAATTGCAATTTTGGCCTCCAATGATTATAAATTTTTTAAATCGAGATTAACATATATTGTGTCATATCCTGCCCCTTTTAAGCAGTCAGCATTCGTTTCTCTGTTTCACATGGAAATTTGTGAAAGCACAAACATATTCCTGCTGCCGAATGTGTTTATCAACATTAATCAAACAACAAAAGACAAGGACAAAATCACTCACTGCTCCTGATTGAAGGACTTGTGTGGCTTTAATAAGAAACAAATTGTTTTTTTGTACAGTAAATTTATATTTTTATATTTATTAATTTTATTTATTTATTATTTATATTTTTTCTTTTCCATAAGTGTAATTTTTTTTGTGTGAGTTTGTTTTTTGTACTTTGTCTGATTATGCTTCAGCATTGTGAATTGTAAAACCTTTTAAATGTATTGGCGTAATAGCAAAATTTGTTTTTTATGTCCAAATTGATTGTCAATTATGTCCAAATTAATCATGATTACAGTTTTTCCCATAATCAAGTTGGCCTACGTACAACTAAGTAGAATAAACTTTTTTTTTTATCTGATAAAAAACATTGAAATACATTTACAGATTAAATTCAAGCATAAGCATCAAAAAAGTCATGTGCATTTGTTTTAACAGATCAAAAGAAAATGTGTGTCTGATGTAATAAACTGGAGTTCATTAGTAGGATGCAGGTGCAGCTTTATTAGAGGCAGATAGGGCTGGAAACAGGAGCAGGCAGTCATATATGTCAGGGTTTGTTTGTGGTTGGGAAGGATGAGGCAAGGACCCAAATGCAAATAACCAAGGACTTTATTATGTAAAAAAAAAACAACTAAAACAACCCCCATGAGGGGGAAGCACAGCCACATAACAAAACTGAATTTACTAGGCTTGGCTTGACTAACACAGGAACAATCAAAACAGATCAGCAAAAGACAGAGCACACTGAGAGAATAAAGGTGGGTGGGACAAGAGAACAGGAGAGCTCATGACACAAAGACAACACAAGCCATGTACTCACAAGAAAACAGGACTAGAACACGCAGCCAATGAGAGAACTCATTAACCGCGTGTTCACATGAAACAAAACACTACAGCAGGGTCAAAACACAGCAGGGCAAAACAAAAAAACACGACAGAAAACAAGACTCAGCACTAGATGTGTGTGTGTGGTAAGTACTCAGTGACGATAAGCTGCAGCTGTGTGTAATCAGAAGGTAAACTGAAACCGGTGTGAGACTGCAAGGCATGATGGCCTTTGTAGTTCGTGTGAATGACAGGAAGTGTTCACCAGTGATCTACAAGGGCAAAACCGCTGGCGACCAAAACAAATGGGATGGCAATAATGAAAATAAACAAAGAACTGACCACATTGCACAACATCAAGTTAAAGTCTGCCATCATTTGACCTCAAGTCAAAGTCTATCATCAAAGTAGTTTGGCATTAATATTTTTATTACCTCCCAGAACTGTCTTGAAAGGCTGTGTTCCCAAAGCCACTGTGTATTCATTTTGTTGCATCTTCTGAGGCAGGCATAAGTAATTTAATAAATAAGATGAAAGGCCCACAGCGATCGTAACTCCATAGATCGCTGGAATACACTCACTATCACTTATGGACTACAAATTCGGCATTTTTTGGACTACAACCCTGATACATGCACTCCGCTCACTCACAGATGTTCCTCATTCTGACTGATTACACACGCAACACCGGAGGATTGTCAAGAACTGATTAAACACACTATTTAAATAGCACATACACTCACTCCAGTTGCAGAGTCTTGTTTACTGTGTGTGACATTACAACGTGTTTACTTTGTCTTGTTTTTCCATGTGTTTACCCTCGCCTTGTTTCTCAAGTTATCCCTGCCTGCCGCCTGCCTTCCGACCTCTCGTCTGTTATTTTGACTACGTTTCTGGATTGCCTTCATACATCTGTTTAATCCCGTGTTGACCATTGCTTGCCTAACTTACTTATTAAACCTGCATTTGGATCAGAACTCTGTTGTAAATGTCATACCAATGGTTATAGCCTACTGCTGCAAATATCATTCTTACTTTAGATATTAGATCGAAAAGTGGCGTTTTTTTAATTTGACTTATTTCTCAAATGTTATATGCAAAGTTCTGCTTTTGCATATAAATCTAATTTGTATCTTTGGAATAAATCATAGCTCATGTAATGAAAACTCCTGGTTTTCACAACGAGGATAACTCAAGCTAATCTGCCTTTTTTGAACAAATGGTCCCTATCCAATTGGCTGCATAATATTTTGATAATCTTATGAAACCATAATAATCCCTCAAGTACTGCAGTTTTTTCCCTTATACACTACTGGTCAAAAGTTTGGGGTTAGTAGGATTTTTAAATGTTTTAATATCTCCTGCTCACAAAGGCTGCATTTATTCATTCATTCATTTTCTTGTCGGCTTAGTCCCTTTATTATTCCGGGGTCGCCACAGTGGAATGAACCTCTTCCTGTCCTTCCAGCCGCATCCCATCTCTGGGAAACATCCACACACACATTCACACACACACTCATACACTACGGACAATTTAGCCTACCCAATTCATCTGTACCACATGTCTTTGGACTGTGGGGGAAACCGGAGCACCTGGAGGAAACCCACGTGAAGGCAGGGAGAACATGCAAACTCCACACAGAAACGCCAACTGAGCCGAGGTTCGAACCAGCGACCCAGCAAACTTCTTGCTGTGAGGGGACAGCACTACCTACTGCGTCACTGCCTCGCCAGGCTGCATTTATTTAATCAAAAATAAAGAACAAATTGTAAAATTGTGAGATGTTATTGCACTATAAAATAACTTCAAAAGTAGTTTATAATTTATATTAATAATTTATTACAGTGATTTTTAAAGATGAATTTTCAGCTTCATTAATCCAGTCTTCAGAGTCAAATGATTTTTCAGAAATCACATTAATATAAATTAAAATTATTAAAATGAAAAGGGACTAAGCCGAAGAGAAAATAAATGATTGAGTTATTAAAATGATTATTATTAATGGAAATAGTAATAAAAGCAATAATGACTCGAGTAATAGTTTCGTTTGAAACTACATAAAATAAGAAAGCAATTGATTAAATTTTAATAAATATTTACAATTTTTACAATTGTTTTACATTTAATAAATGCTGCCTTGATGAACAGAATAATTTTCTTTAAAACAAAAAAACATTAA